ACATCTTCTTGCAACAATTAGCTCGAATTACGGAGATTGCACTGTAATTATATTACCGATTGCTAAAACTTTCAAAAAGAAACTATTGAGGAGTACTCGTGTAATTTTGCATGATTGAATATTTCACTACTACATAATAACTAAAGTCATGATTGGCGTAATTTATCTATCTTTGCTAACTACGAGTACAAAACTAAAATTTAATAAAAAATAATGTACTTACTTTTCTCCAGCACTCTCAAACAAAATAACACTGACTCACTATAATTTGTGTGAAATACTATCTGTTTATATTTTTTAAAATAATTTCTTAGCACTTTCCTTTTCAAGATTCAGGAAACGAATAAACGTATTTGTCCCACATTCGTATTTATAAAGTGACGAATTGAACAAGTCAGTGCAAGGTAGCGAAGCTCTGAGTTTGCGACTCTCTGGTTTTTACAAGTTCAAAATGTATTGAAAATCAAATCCTATACCTCTTAAAAAATCACCCACTATAAGCCTTCATAAACTGATTGAGGCGTTTCATGGGAAGTTCAGAGTCAAGCTACTTGAGAATGTGGAGAATTGTACGCAATTTTCAAATTACTGAAACATGAAGGTTATATTGTCTGACAAAATCTTTCCGTCACTGGTTGTCGGTATGTTCCGTATTATTTTAGGCAATATCATTTTGTTTTTTCGCCTAATCTTTGCCATTGTGCATATTTAATGAATCGATAAAATTCGCGTTTAATATACACATGTTGTCGTTAAGGTGAAATGTTATCGTGCAAAGAATCTTAAACAAACACATTTTATCTAAGAAAAAGCTAACGATAATACGTGCGTGTTACAAAAATATATTTATATACTAAGTGACATATAAATCCGAACACCCAGCTTAAACGGTTTTATTTTTATAAAAGTTGATGAATGTATTTATCTTACTGTAAATAGCAAGTGAAAAAATTTTCAGCCTTATCAGTTGGACATTCCGGTTTTTATACTGCTTTTTTTTAATTCACTAACGCTCTAAAAATGAATATTTCAGCCGCAGTAAAGAATCAACGTTGGCGGATTTTGGTTCTTGACATCCTTTACGATCGGTTCCGATGCCTAGAGTACGGAGACCTGTACGATTTCGTCAACTTAGTGAGTTTGATAGGGGCCGTATAGTGGGACTTCGGGAAGCTGGACTTTCTTTTCGGGCAATTGCAGTGCAAAGAAGTGTAGACACTGTGGTTAGGTGTTGTCAGGCATGGCTTCGAGAAGGCAGTACGCAAAGAGCAAGGGGCATTGGACGCCGCCGTAGAACAACGGACCGTGAAGATCGCCGCCTAAGATTATTGGCCTTAAGGGACCGTTTCTCCACTACCAGGTCCATTGCAAATGAATGGTTTGCAGAACACGGAAGACCTATTGGCATGCGAAGTGTTTACCGACGAATGAGAAGTTTTGGCTTGCTTTCATACCGGCCACACTGGGTCCTTCCTTTAACTCGAGATTTTGTTTAGGCATGCACGATGGTCGTGCCAGGGTTAGAAGGCGACGTGGTGAAAGGAGGAATCCACAGTTTTTTGTTGAAAGACATGTTCATCACACTGTTGGAGTTATGGTTTGGGATGCTATAGCTTATGGTTCCAGGTCACCTTTAACCTTCATCAGAGGTAACATGAACGCGCAGCGTTATATCCACGAAGTTCTAGAACACCATCTTTTACCCTATCTTGACGCCCTGGCAGATCCAACTGTCCAACAAGGTAATGCCCGACCACATGTTGCAAGAGTCACTTCTTTCAACATAATGATGTCACACTGTTACCATGGCCACCAAGATCTCCCGACTTATCCCCAATTGAGCACGTGTGGGATATGATGGGTAGGAGATTGCTCAATTTGCAACGTCCTCCTCAGACTCTAGAAGCACTTCGAGAGGAGTTGTTGGTTGCCTGGAATGAGATACTACAGGAGGACATTGACCACCTGATCAGAAGCATGCCTAGGCGCGTTGAAGAATGCGTAGCACATCAGGGTGCATCCACACATTATTAAAGGTCAAAGGGCTTTAAAGCAGTGCAATCATTTTGAAATTTTTATCATTTACTTATTATGCTTCATTAAGTACTTATACAAAATTTTATTAAAATAAAACCATTAAAACTGGGTGGTCGGATTTATATGTCACTTAGTATATTTACCTGTATATGAGTACGTCCAACGTTATAAATATCATATTAATTTTGGGCTGAGAAGGTGAAACGTTTGGCGGTTCATATTTCAAAAATTCAAGGAAAATCAAAATGCTTATTCAAGTTAGAAGTAGTTTATGAACAAACTGAGAAAGATATCAAAAATCTGTTTTCGTGGTAACGTGATATGTTACTAGTGCATGTTTCAAAATTATCATAATATATAGAGAGTAAACTGCATCTTGATCGGTCTAAAGGCCGTAGTCGGTTGGAATTTCTTCCTAACGTTTCGCTAGCACGAGTGGCAAGCTTCTTCAGAGGTCCTTCCTAAGTTAGTTTTAGTTATATTTGTATATTACGTGAATAAACTTATTATTATTATTATTATTATTATTTCCGATGCTGGATGTAGACTGACTCATCAGTGTTCCATAACATCGGGCAGTATCAAACATGTTTTTCTTTTTTCAAATAGAAAGCCTTATATTTTATTGTATATTTGGAAACAGCTTCCAAAAACAAGAAGTTTGTTATACAGGGTGGCGCATCGAAAACGAAACAGACGCATTTACTGGCAGCTCAGTTTTTTTTTTTGAAAAACGCTCAGACCCGTCGATTTTCTCCATGCAACAATAAAGATTTTGCTCAAAACGTTGCCGCATATTTTGCAATATTTGAGGAGTAATTTGAAGGCACAATTCTTTGTCGCAGGTCTTCTAATGATGTTGGCTGTGTAGCATAGATCTTGCTTTTTAAATGACCCCACATAAAGAAATCCAAAGGTGATAAGCCTGGCGATCCTGGGGGCCATTCAATGGCACCTCTTCCACCAATCCATCGATCTGGAAACGTCTGATAATATTGTCGAACACGTAATGCGTAATGTGGTGGGGCACCATCCTGTTGGAACATCAACCTATTCGCAATATACCGCCGATCATTCTGATTTTCAATTATGGCTGTTAACCCAGATACCCCTGAAACTCTTAATGTTTGTTTTTTGTTATATACTTTTGTAAACTTATTAATTGGATTAATATAAACATATTTTCCTAGTAAAATTTTTAAGTTCCGCTTTTAGGTTTTTCTGTAAAAGCCGTCGGTTTAAACGTACGGTAGCAATATAAGGTACTAAAACTCAATATTCTTATGAAGTTATAAAACTTTATTTAGAAACGAAAAAAAATTTTTAGACCAATAATAATAGATTAGTTTTTAGTATGGTAACTTAAAAAACACATTTTTGGATGAAGTGCAACATCACACTTCTGGCATCTGAATGCTGCTTGTTTGTGGCAAAATGCGCAGCGGGTTTGCTTTTCCTGATAATTCACAAGATGATCCATCCGATCATATCTGGACTCATAGTGCAGGTATTTGCCTGGTTTAGATGGCCCCCGTTTTGTTTCTTTCTTATAAGTTTCTAATAATCCCGCAGCAATACACCTCCTAAACTGCAAATGGCCCATTTTTCCGCCAGAATGTTTATGAAGTTGCCATGCGTTTTGTTCTGCCATATCCAGAACATGTGAAAACAAGCAACAATACCACTTCTTTCCCCTGATTTCTACGCGGTAAAGGCTTATATTTTGGTCAGCCCTATCAACACCGCCCATGTTTTCGTTGTATTGTTTGATCAAACATGGCTGCTCAACATGTATTCTTTTGTTTCTGAGAGAAGCGTTTGACTTGCTGTGTCGGAAAAGGAGATGTTACATTTGAGGCAATTGTAACAACACTATTGTCATTCCATTTACATACAATATTATTTTGGTTCTCCTCCAAAAGATAATCAAAACTACCACGGGATTTTTTCTTGAACATACTGGATTTTTCAAGAGGGCAATCTGATAGTCTGTTTTCTCGCAGAGTTCCTGTGCATTTGAGCCCCCTGGAGGTCAGCTCAGCCAACAGAGGTAATGACGTAAAAAAATTGTCACAAAAGATACGGAAAGGAGCTTTTTCACATTAAGACTGAATAATATCAGCAAACTGAAGTACAACACTAGCCCCTAAGCCAAGAGGACGATATTTTTCAGAAATAATAGTTGTGGACCCTTGAAACAGCTCAAACCATTCAATGTACCCCTTTTTAGTTGTTCCCACCCATACCTTATAACCCCAACGAATGGGCTTTCCTCGGATGAACTGTTTTGATCCATGACCGCCGTAATAGGGTACCATCGACTCGTCCACGCTATGGCACTCTTCAAGGGGTGCAAATGACTGAAATTTCTCATTCAGAGTAGAAAACAAGGGCCTCAGTTTCGAAAACTTATTTTCAAGATTGTTGTTATCATTCAGGTGCAAATTCTGCATTATAAAGCTAAAGCGATCTCGAGAAAGCGCCGAATAGACTAACTTATTTCCTGCGTCACTGTTATTTTCCCAATACATTGACCGTCGAGGGAATGAGTTGTATCCAGAGAGCAGTAATACACCAATGAAACATTTTATTTCACTGGAATGTATATCACCTCGGCGATTATGCTGAATAGCATATATATTGGAATATTTCACAACCAAGTCAATAATTTCGTCATCTATAAACTGAAAAAATAGTTCTAAAGGAGATAAAGAATTTTTTGGACCACTTGCGTTTACCCATTCTGGAAAATCTAGGTTGATGTCACCTTTTTTCCAAGAGTAATTTGGTTTTGATAATTTTGGTCGTTTTTTCGTAAGAAAGGTAGACAAAGGTAGGTCATCGTCGCTATCAAAATCAACTGTAGTTTGGTTTGATCCCTCGTTTTCAAATACAACCTCAACTTCAGTCATCAGCTGACTTCCAGGGAGGTTGTTTATATCCACTTCATTTTCGTCGCCGGAATCCTCATCAGTGTTATATTCATTTGCGTTAACTGGCGGTAGAACGGCAAGGGCCTCTTCCAATAGTTCCAATAACTGCAAATATAAGAAAAAAAATCGAATAATACCGGATTTTCCTACTATCCGTTAAAACGGACATCGGTATTTGAGGTTATATTTTTGCTGGTGAGATGCAAATTTTTAACTTATTTGTTTACAATTATAAAGATTGATGTTTTCTAAAATTACTTATTCTCAAGATGGAAAAATAATATGAATAGTTTATCAGTATACTCACCTAAAATTATCCATTGTTCACAACAAACTAAGCACCTGTTATTCCAAGCACTTTCTCGCATACAGATCTCTCCTTTTAAGAGGTTAGAACAATAAATTTCGCTTAAACACGTGTTTCTAACAGCGAATAACCCAACGCCATCTAACGCGGAGTGACAGAGTTTCAAATTTGAAGCGAAATATTAGGTGATTGTTATAACGGACGCTAGGAGTATCTGGGTTAATGCAGGATCTATGGCGTCTTCCAGTAATTCCAAATACATTTCACCGGTCACATTTCCAGGTAAGAAAAAAGGACCAACCAAATGATCGCCAAAAATACCAGCCCAAACATTTAATTTTTGTATCTGCTGTGTATGAACTTCATGATAAACTCTGGGATTAGAATCGGACCAATATCGGCAGTTATGACGATTTACTACGCCATTTAAGAAAAAGGAACATTCGTCGGAAAAGCAAGTGTTGAATAGAAAATGTTTATCGTTTATAATTCGTTCACTCATATCTTCACAAAATTGTAATCGCCGATCAAAATCGTCTTCATTAAGTTCTTGTACCAGGTGAATTTTATACGGATGAAAACTATGGGCCTTTAGAATCCGTTGGACAGTACGTCGACTAACACCACACACAGTCTCCAATTTGCGGGTACTTAACGTAGGATCTACATAAACTTGCCCTAAAACCCCCACTTGTATTGCTTTGTTCCTTATGGGATTTTCAATATTGTGTTTTTTATTGGCGACTGACCCAGTTTCTCGAAATTTAGCTACAAGTTCCAGAACATATTTTCGATGCACGTTACTGGTCTCATGTCGCTCATTAAATATACTAAGTGACATATAAATCCGAACACCCAGTTTAAATGGTTTTATTTTAATAAAATTTTGTATAAGTACTTAATGAAGCATAATAAGTAAATGATAAAAATTTCAAAATGATTGCCCTGCTTTAAAGCCCTTTGACCTTTAATAATGTGTGGATGCACCCTGATGTGCTACGCATTCTCCAACGCACCTAGGCATGCTTCTGATCAGGTGGTCAATGTCCTCCTGTGGTATCTCGAAGTGCTTCTAGAGTCTGAGGAGGACGTTGCAAATTGAGCAATCTCCTACCCATCATATCCCACACGTGCTCAATTGGGGGTAAGTCGGGAGATCTTGGTGGCCATGGTAACAATGTGACATCATTATGTTGAAAAAAGTCTATTGTGACCCTTGCAACATGTGGTCGGGCATTATCTTGTTGGAAAGTTGGATCTGCAAGGGTGTCAAGATAGGGTAAAAGATGGGGTTCTAGAACTTCGTGGATATAACGCTGCTCGTTCATGTTACCTCTGATGAAGATTAAAGGTGACCTGGAACCATAAGATATAGCACCCCAAACCATAACTCCAACAGTGTGACGAACATGTCTGTCAACAAAAAACTGTGGATTCCTCCTTTCACCACGTCGCCCTCTAACCCTGGCACGACCATCGTGCATGCCTAAACAAAATCGAGACTCGTCACTCTAGACAATACTGTTCCATCCCTGATCCCAGAGTGACCGTTGTCTGCACCACTCAAGGCGATTACGTCGGTGTTCTCGAGTTAAAGGGAGGATCCAGTGTGGCCGGTATGAAAACAAGCCAAAACTTCTCATTCGTCGGTAAACACTTCGCATGCCAATAGGTCTTCCGTGTTCTGCAAACCATTCATTTGCAATGGACCTGGTAGTGGAGAAACGGTCCCTTAAGGCCAATAATCTTAGGCGGCGATCTTCACGGTCTGTTGTTCTACGGCGGCGTCCAGTGCCCCTTGCTCTTTGCGTACGGCCTTCTCGAAGCCATGCCTGACAACACCTAACCACAGTGACTACACTTCTTTGCACTCTAACTGCAATTGCCCGAAAAGAAAGTCCAGCTTCCCGAAGTCCCACTATACGGCCCCTATCAAACTCACTAGGTTGCCGAAATCGTACAGGTCTCCGTACTCTAGGCATCGTAACCGATCGTAAAGGATGTCAAGAACCAAAATCCGCCAACGTTGATACTTTACTGCGGCTGAAATATTCATTTTTAGAACGTTAGTGAATTAAAAAAAAGCAGTATAAAAACCGGAATGTCCAACTGATAAGGCTGAACATTTTTTCACTTGTTATTTACAGTATGATAAATACATTCACCAACTTTTATTAAAATAAAACCATTTAAACTGGGTGTTCGGATTTATATGTCACTTAGTATATTTCTGCTGTTCTATTAGCGCACTGATTATTTCCGAAAAATATTTCGATAATTTCAACTCTATCTGTTGTGGAATATACCATGGTTAATATATGTAATAAAGCGTTACAAGTTATTTTAGCAACAAAGTTTGGTCAAATCAATCGCAAACTATGTACTGAATTCCTATTTAAAATAAGTACGAGATATTTCCTTATCTTTCTTCAAGAAATAACTTTTGCCACAAAAACACGCTCCAATAGCTATTTTCAACAACAAAATGAAAAACAAACCGTGGGCGTAGTGAAGAAAAGCATTTACTTATTAAGTAAATTCTTTTAGTCAAATTTCTTCTGAAAGTAGTACAAACTAATCTGATGTACCTATTAAAGTCTACTTTAAGCTTTAAATCAATAAATCTTCAAAACTACTGAACTGTAGCTCATGTGTTTTACATCATTATAAAGGGAATTGAAAGACCTTTGAAATAAGGTATCACTCGACCCCCCTTTCCATTTAAGATTTTAGGGTTGGTGTCACCCCTGCCCAGGGGGTTGCACGTGTTGACGTGGTTTTTTGACAAACTTGTGTCCCGCTCGAAAACAAAATCGACGGGTTTGATCGTGTTTCAAAAAAAAAAATAAAAATCTGAGCTGCCAGTAAATGCGTCTGTTTCGTTTTCGATGCGCCACCCTGTATATATCATATGGTTTAATGTCATCTGTATATATCTGTACCTCAGGGACAGACTAGTTTAAGTCCAAATAAGTAGTTTTGGGAAAATTTTACTTGAAGTATTTTTCTTGCATTGTATTGTATGCGACTTGACATGAGTTAAAGAGTCGTAACTGCCTTATTTTTACAGATAGAAGCGTCCTTCACAATATTATCATACTAAACTCATTTTTGACAAAAATGGATTTAACCTAGTCTGGCTCTGGGGTACAGATATATTGTGAGTAATGCGTGAAAAAATCCCCAACTTTGACAGCTCGCAGCTCCACCATATTTGGAGATATTTAGATAAATTTTACTATAATCGATTTTAAATTAATCTGAGAAAAAGAAATGCTAAAATACGGTAAAAATGTACCTTTTCTTATAAACTGCATTGTTACGAAATTACTGGTAGTTCTCTCACATGGATCAAACCTTTTATGAAAAACAGGTCACAATATGTTTCTTTATTATATGATTATGGTACAGAAATAAAGTAAGTCCGGTTTTCAAGCGCTGATACTGATATGGGAGTTCCCCAAGGATCTATATTAGAGCCTCTTTTATTTATACTGTATATAGATGATCTGGGTGAGAGACCAAGTGAGTTTTATAATGTATTCAGACGATGCTAACTAAATTCAATAATATTATGAAGCACCTTGAAGAATGGTTTGTACAAAATCAATTATTTTTAAGCTCAGAGAAGACTGCTGTGAATCTTCAGCGGATTACGGCTGAATGTAGACAAATAACTCACGACATGCTTGAAAATGTGAGGAATGCATTCGAACAAAATCTTTATTACTGCATGAAAGTAAATGTAAATCACTTATTACCACATTGACCTACCCCTTTATAGCAAATTAATTTTCACTTTGTTTTTTGTTTTTTCAATTCTCGGAGACTTTTTTTTAATTTTAAAGGCTTGTTACTATTATACCCTTGAAATAACAAAGGTAATGTGTAGTGAAACCAGGGCGGCCAAGTAAAAAAAAATAAAGGAAAAAGTACTCACTCTCCAGTTGACGAGAAGGGCTAAGTACGTCTCTGCCCGAAATCATACCGGTCCAACAGAAAATGAAATCAGCTGATGCGCTACCGAGCAGACGCAGAAACCACATTGATTGTCTTACACTTAATGGCACATCTTCTAACAAGGAAGGCAAAATGTTGCGTAAAAAGCCTCGGTATTGCATCCCGTCCAATCGATTTGGGAGAATAAATGGTCCAATGAGCATACCGTTCACCATGCCAGCCCAAACATTCACCGAAAATGTTTGTTGAAAATGTGCCCGACGGACAGCGTGCGGATTTTCTACTGACCAAACATGAGTGTTGCGAAAGTTATTCACCTCATTACGCGTGAACGTAGATTCGTCTGTCACCAATATGCACTTCAAAAAGTCCGGATTATTGTCATGTTGATGCAACAACCACTCACAAACCGGACTCTTGCTGGAAAACCGTCAGGTTGGACGTGAAACGGATACAGCCCCTCTTCACGCAACGTTTGCCACACTTTAGTTTTTGATACTTGCACTTCTCTAGCCAAGTCTCTAGTGCTTGTTGAGGGATTCTCGTCTACGCGATTACCTCTACACGCGTGACCGTAACCGTCGGTTGAAGGTTGCATACTGACCTGACACACTGACCCCGACCCAGTTCTGTCGTTGGGTTGAGCCAGTGACCTTGTACCAGTCGGTGATGTCGCGGCTACAGGACGGTATTCAGATATTTTTTCTCGGTTCCCTTAAGTCATTGGTGTATATGGAAAAATTGCTTATGTTTTCAAGATCTACACGTCGTGTAAAGGAAAACCCCAGCTTTGCGGACACCCTGTATATATTACTCGCTATAATAATTATTATTTGTACGATATAATCCCTTATTATTATAGACTAGAATTTTATTATAAACTCAAATAGCTTTAGATCACCCTGTATTGTACGGCTATAGATGGAAATACGTCCCCCTAGAAATCAAAATTGACGTATCCGAGCGTTTTTCCCAAAATATACCAGAATAGTCACAATTGGGGGTGCGACCTTTTCATTGGGCTACCCTGTATGTACTTTTTGTAAAATGTATTCAGGAAGTCTCCAAGGTATTTAGGGCCAGATTTTTAACAGTTTGTCAGCAGACAAACGAAACGTCAAAGATGAGGTTTTACAAAATAAAACTCAA